TTCCAAGATCTTAGGGCGAATATGTTTAATTAAAATCAAATTTTAATTAAACACAAATTAGAGTCTAACTCTAATCTTAAATAAAATTTTAGGGCAATACAATTTAATTAAAATCAAATTTTAATTAAATATCTGATTAGAATCCAATTCTAATTTCAAAAATATAATTGGATGAATAATTAATTAAAATCAAAATTTAATTATGTATCAAATTAGAGTCCAACTCTAATTTAAATTGAATTATTATTTTAATTTAATATGAAACTCCTAAATAAAATAAAATTCAATTTAGGGTCAAATTTAATATTTAAGTTAAAATCATATTTTAACGAAAATGTAAAAAATCGTCAATTTTAATTAAAATTTTAAACGGGTCAAAATTGAAATTTTAGGTCAAACCCATTTAAAAACAAATTAAAAACCATTTGAAATTAAATTCAAAACCACCTTTTCAAAATTGCAAATTGACCCTAATTTAAAATTTCCAACAGAGCCCCTTCATTTCGTAAATTATGGAACAGGTCCTTTTTCAAAAATTGCAAACTGACCCCATATTTTATAATTGCAGGAAAGCCCCCGTAATTACACTAATTGTAGAGACACCCTCGTCTCCAACAATCAACAGCAACAGAAAACCTAAAATTTTCACCCAATTGAAAAACCCTAAAATTCTTCTCTTCTTCTTGGCAGCGTCGATGATGACCGACGCCTTTTCGCTCCAACCTCCAACAGCCGGCGTTGCTCCAACAATGGCAGCATTGTCGGCTGCCATATCCGGAAGCAACGTCACACGCTGCTAGTCAGCAGCGCCCGGCACTGTTCGGTGAGCAGCGTTGGACGCCGCCAGTCCCACATGGTGATGGTTCTCGACCACAGTCCAATTTCCTCCCCCCCCCCCCCTCCTTTTGTTAAATTCAGATTCATATATCATTCCAATCAAAGAAATTATTTTCTATTCAAAATCTGATTTTGAATATGAAAAATTATTTATCTCCTTAATCGCTAAAACAAGAAAAACAATTAACTTTTAATTGTTCCAACATGCAAAGCAATTTATAACAGACACAAAGTAGACTATAATATCTACTTAACATGCGCAGCGAAAAATTGAAACAGATTTCGATTCCCACCAGAAATCTCTTTGTGTTTAGATAGAAATTGTGAAAAAATGGTATCTTTTCCAGATCTGCAAATTTCTTTGCTATTCTTTTTGTTTCAGCAATCTTGATTCGCCACCCAGAGCTGTCCAATTCTCCAGCCTCCAACGATGTTCCACACAGAGAACAAGATTGCAGTTACCAGTGTTTTCTTCTCTTGTGCTGGCAAGAATAATTATGAGAAAAAAAACATATGGATTGAAAACCCTAGCCATATATTTATATAAGCCCAAACGGGCCTGGCTTGGTCCGATCCAATATTTAATTAATCCATTTAATTAAATTCGATCCGTGAATTAATTAATCCAATTAATTAATTCGGGCTTATAAATAACAAACCCAATTAATTAATTTATCTAACGATTGTTAAATTAATTAATTAATTGACAAATTGCAATCTTCCAATTCTCTTTTGTGTGTGACCCATCAGTTTCCCGATCACGTTACCTAACGACGTGGAATATTATTTTGATCTAATCAAAATTGATAAATTAAAATACTCTTTTAATTTATCACCAATTCACACTCGCCTTCCCAGATTGACATCTACTAATGTGTCAAGGCAATACACGTGACGGGGAATGTCATGTGGTATGACAAAATCAAACTTGTTCGCTTACCGTGAAACTATAATCATTTTGTCAATATGATCCGATCAATTATGAGATATGAAATTGTGTCAATCCCGAATATTGATTATATCTTTCACTCCACTATTAAGTCAATATAAGTCGAAAACTCATTTTCGACTTATGAGTACACCTTGGCCAATGATTTCGTTATCGACTTAATTGAATGAAACGCAGATCATAATCTCCTACTATCTAAAAGTGACGAATCCTTTATTGGTCAATCACAATTTTCATACGATTCTTGACGTACCCGAACGATGTCGTATTAGCGGCCCTTTGCAGAGCAACATCCAACACCGTCAAAGTATGACTGTTCTCATATAAGGTACCATGGCGACCTCAAATCAAAGAACCAATTCTACTACCGAACGTTAGAGATTAACCACCGACACTCAGATAGTTATCCATGTGGAATCTCTCGGCGGGTCTCCATTGTTTTGTTCTATAACAAAACATCCACATGTTCATTTAAGTGTCACCACACTTTAACTTGTGAGATCAGCTACTTATTTTACAAGTAAAAAATGTCACACGTGATGGTCTATCCGTAATAACAATATCCGTATCTCGTTATTACTTACGACCACGGACGATTTAAGATTCAATCAGATATAATTTGTATCTCACAATCACAACTCCTTGTGATTAACAAATTACGAAAATTTGAATCTATGCTCTCTATTATTTATTTAATTGTCTATTAATTAAATAATAGATCTGCCATTAAATTGCATTAATTATATATCAAAAATATTTATGCTCAAAGTTAATTGGACTTAGGGCATAATACTTACAGTGTTAATACCATAGACATCTCTCAATGGAGCATGCAGTTTTTTCCATAGCAACTTTTTTATGCCAATATTTTCTCTAATTTGAAAGAACTGTTCTAATACGATCATCTACGATAAAGTACTTCGTTAGTACAAATACTAATATAAACATTTGACTACAACATGTCTAGACTAACATTTAGTGTTCACCAAATTAAGTTCGAAATTTTACAAGAACCATGACATAATATTTTTCTACTCCAATAGTACTTCAACTAGACAACATTCAAGGTAATTGCAACAAAAAAATAAATAAATATGTTGTACATGGTACATAATTTTAAATGGTTATGAGGAAATTATTATTTTTTAATATTTTGTCCCCATACACGAATTATATTCTACTGACTAACTTTTTGTATATATGCAAACACGATACACGAGAAGTCTTATATAAATATGGCACAAAACATGGAAACTCTTAGGACAATATTATAAGACATAGATAGAATGAATTTTATGAAATTAATTGTTGGAGTTGAACAAATTAGCAAAGCTCTCTCGACAATACCAATCATCTCTAATTTATATCTTTTAATTTTTAATAAGTTTCTTGGCTTGATATTATTTAATATCAATCCGTCCATGTAACATTTCCAGTCATGAAGTGCCAAAATAATTAAAAATAAATAAAATTTGTCTTTGTCACTATAGAGACCTACTATTGGATATAAGTATGATAAAAGTCACCTATACAGTCTATACTATGATTTTTAGCTTCAAAATTCTGCTTACTGATAATTGAAAAACTAATTATCACACGGAAGGGGACATAAAAGTGGGAGATCCTTCTCCTATGTCCATGTGGGTTTTTCGTTTCATTGCTGACTGCCCTTTAGGAGGCGCTAAAAGTCAACCACAAAGGCAAAGAACCTATGAACATATACGCATGAGAAAGTGCAAAAGTTTGATGGGTACACTCGAGAAACATTCGTGTTAAACTTTAAACTTATTTAAGCAATTTTCTTTTAAAAGTTTATAGTTTAGAAAAGTTACTCTTAAACTTATCAAATTAGATGAGATTTTTGACATATTTGATCGCGTTTAAAAAGATCTTCTTTATTTACTTTTTGTTTGACACGTTATGATACTGAGAAAAACGGATAAAAATCAATTTTAAGAGGGTGTTTGAGCCACATTATTTTGATAATAATGCATTCTTGAATAGTGTATTGATGGAAAATATGTTGTTAAAAAATAAGGAAATTTTTTTGATCTGCGTGTAATATTATTTTATTGAAAAATGTGTGGTTGAAATGATGTTAAATCACTATTTAAAAATATTTTTTTTTGAAATAATGTGACTCAAACAGACCCTAAATATGTTCAACTATCTTCTAGTTAAACATTCTCTAAATCTTAAAAGGTTGAACCCCCAACTTTAAGGGTTTTCCATCGTCCCGCCCTTGGAGCATAATGAGAAAGGTTAATCGTCGAGATATGCCCCAACAGAGCAAGGAATAAGAGTTATCTATACACTGATGCCCACAAAAAGTTTCAATTCATGTTTCAGAATTCGAACCCTCACACTGCGGCTACTAGCAAGACTGAGTATACCTCACCCTTGTCCTTTGCACCACTGAAATATGCCCATGGGGGCAACATTCTCTAAATCTTGATCTTACATGATGTCAAAAGCATTTACAGAAGCAGTTTTCCAAATTTTGCTAACTTAATACGTGTTTTGATCTCAATAAATTTATAATAAACTATGCGAATCTTCTTGATCACTCATGTCTGATATGGTTCTAAATTAAGACTTTCTTCAATGGGATTTGAAATTGAATGTGATAGAAGCATCGAATCAAGAATGAGATCGGATGGAATTCATGGGAGAAAAAAGTAAAAATCAAATGAAAAAATTATTAAAAAATGCGGTGGAAACGGGCTGTTTTTAATTCATAGTAGATTAAACAACAAAAATTTACTTTTTGAAGAACCACTTTTTTCTTAATTAGGTTACATAAATGTGCATTGGGGTTGATGAAATGGGGTTTTGGAAATCAAACCAACCAAAAGGCCTAGCATTTGGTGAAATCATAAATTGTCACCTGCACTGCATGCCCTAATTATTATTATTATTATTATTTTTAGGAGTGACGGCCTGGTTTGTCATCCAAGTAAATTCGAATGCGATTACAACTTATACACACTTGAATCGAACATTTGGAATGTGGTAATTATTTATTTATAAATTAAATGTGTGCCATTTTTTGTAGTAGTTACTAATTAGATCCAATAATAATGCTGACTTGTATATTTATTGCTGCAAATTCAAAAATTTCGACCCTCCATCTCCATTGGACAGATTTACTCCTTCCCTTTCCTCTCTGTAAATTTGACTTTTCCCTTCTTTTTTTTTTTTTTAAATGACTGGGATACCCCCCTTGACTAGTCTTTATCAAAGGGCTTGCTTAAATCTGACTACATTTGTTTTGTTTTGCACTCTAATTATTTGATAAATTACTTCAAAGAAAACTTGATGGGATCCTTTCGCTTGAGCCAAGATTCTGTCTTTTTGGTCAAATAAGACACCGATACAACGCTTAATATTGTAAGTATTAAGGTTCAGTCTGGGTGATCTTTTCTCAGGAAAATATGGATTTGGTTCTTGAAATCAAAGAAAAAGTGTCTCTTTCTCCATCTCAACAGCCATATTTTCTCTTTCAGCCACCTACATCTCCTTCTTTCAGTGTTGTTCATACAGGTGGGTTCAATTTGAACAACAAGGTGAGTTCAAGTATATTGCTGATTATTATAATCCTTGCCATTATTTTCGTTATCTCTGGTTTGCTTCATTTTCTTGTTAGATTCCTATTGAAACCTCAACATAGGGATCCTGATGAAGTAGACAATGTGACTGTCCTTCAAGGCCAGTTGCAGCAACTCTTTCATTTGCATGATTCTGGTGTTGATCAGTCTTTTATTGACACCCTCCCTGTATTCAAGTACAAAACCATTATTGGAGTGAAGGATCCATTTGATTGTGCTGTTTGTTTGTGTGAATTTGAGGCTGAAGATAAGCTTAGGCTTCTGCCCAAGTGTAGTCATGCCTTCCACATGGAGTGTATAGATACTTGGCTGTTATCTCACTCCACTTGCCCTCTTTGTAGAGCAAGTTTGATTCCTGATTTTTGGCAAAAAAGCAATTGCTCGCCAATAGCCCTTGTTCTTGAATCTGGAAGTGAAGGTTCAAGAGAGATTGTTTTGGATAGGGAGGGTGGATTAGACACCAGTAATTCAGTTTCAAGTGTGAATTCTAAATTGAATGTTCATTGTGATAATGAAT